TGTTTATTTCCATAGACGTTTATAATGAGGGATCGATTACAACAAAATAAATATTGTGTTACCTGATGCACTTTAGTGTTCGTTACAATGGAAATAGACGTAACGTTCGAGAATGTAAAGATAATTAACTTGAAACTGGTAACTAAGCTATTTATTAGACAAATAAAATCCTTTGAAGAAATGAAAACTGATGCATTTTCAACTTGTCTCGGACTTAATTAATAACTTGAGATTTATTAGTTAAAAATTAAATAAATGAGCATGGTAACGACATAACTTTGAATTGCAGGGTTTATTATTAAGAATCACTAAATCAACACAAATTATTTTACTACGGATCACTTTAATAAAAGGAATACTTTTTCTTGAAGAGTTCAAGATAACTAGATCATGTATCATAGTTAATTCAGTGATTTCAGGTTTTCAATGGCGGTCTAACATCAATCGGCTCATGATCTCAGTTAAATACTTAATAATTTCCACAACCCTATACTGATAATTACCGTGTGCTCACTAGCTTCTTGAGAGGATTCTTGGAGTTCTAACGAGAAGCAGTGACCAGTGTAGCTAATCCGTGTTGGGTAGAGACAGGTATCTACCCCAGTACAATCGAAGATGCTCACGCAATTTTGTGGATTGGTCGAGGTTAGGCATTACCAAAATTGGATGCCGGCCAACTCAGTGGTCTAGAGGTTAAGCGTTCGCGCGCGAGACTGAAAGGCCCTGGATGCGCACTGATGAGGTGTCATACAATGGGACGAAATGGCCGACCAATGCTTCCAGGTGTGGAATGGTGGTCTAACATCAATCAGTTCATGATCTCAAATAGCATAGTTAGAAATGTTAGATCTTAGCTATTTTTCTATCTGAATGACTAGTACAGTAAAATAAATGTAATCATAAAATTTGTTTACAGTAAATTAAAGACATTTTGTCAACAGTGCATGACTAATAGCTTATCCTGATATGAAAGGATAGATTGGTGAGTCTTCATTTTAAACTCATTGTGATTTTTCTTCAACAGTACCTCCGCTCCTAATTCAGTAGGGTGATTACTCGGAGTAATATTTGTTTTATTTTCTGTATGGCATTATGTTCAGCACAGCGTTGGTTTAAGATAATATTCCTTGCATTAATTCACTGTAAAATTTGTAGCTTAGATTTTTCTGTGATGCTCTTTATTTTTATTTGGAATAATTGTCAATTAATCATCAAGTATGAGTAAAATCTGCATATCTATCATTATGATTTGTTTCTGGAGTCAAAGAAAACTTTCTCATTATGTGTCATCGAATTCGGGATTTTAAAACAAATGAAACTACTTAGGGAATTGCTCATAAAAGCAGTGAAGATTTGTTTATATGTTATAAACAGAAATGAATAAAATCAAAACCTTAGCTTTAATTTTAAGAGATGTTGATGAAATCAAAATATATAGTCTAAAAAAACAACTGAGGAAGGTCTGAAAATGCAAAATTTATCCTACAGTTATTGATACATATTTTCACATTACATTCAACTTATCCGTTAGATAATGCAAGGAATCATACAGTAATTAAAAGATAAAACCGTAATTTTTTTATGCACTTTTATAATCGATTTAAATTAGTGAAGACTTTTAGACAGGAGAGATCTCGATGTCAAGGATTTCGCTCTTATTATGTCGAAACTATATGATCTATCCTTTTGAGTTATTTGTTTTAGTACTAATAGAAATTAGTGAATAAGCTGGTGACTCGAAATTATTTCGAGTGAACATTTTAGGCTATTCAAACTTTATATAATTAGTTGGTATACATACATGATTATTTTATCACTTTTAAAGCAAATTTAGCTAATAATACTTTTCAGTTGTAACAGGTATAAAACTCAAGGTCGTGAAAACACCATTGTAGATTGTAGGAACTAACGCTAATGTTAATTAAAATTCATATAGCGATGTATGTCGATGTGTACATCTTAAAAAAAACCCGAATCATCTAACACTCTTCAGCTTGTCACAATAAACTAATGAGTCTTTATGTTTTGACAATAAATGAAATGTATAAATCGATGTAAATTGTATTAACATATTATGTATACACTAAAGTTATAAAAATATTGACCATTTTGGGAAACGAAATGTCAGTGAGAATTACTTATCGCCATTCGGTTCATTTATCTGTACTCCGCTACAGTTTGTTCAAATTTTTTTCCTGTATCATCTAGTGTTCTTCAATCATGTTGTCTGGTTTTTCTAATAAAAAGCCACCTAGAATTATAATTTCCTAAAAGATTAGATTGTCATAACAATCAAGTTTCTGGAAACTTCATAATTTTATTAGATCAACACTGATTATAAAGTATGAACTGTTAAGTTTAAATTCACACTATTAACTAGTATGTTTCTGTCAAAATTGAAATACGCGCTTGGAAAAATTAAAATTGTTTTATGAATATTCATTAACATTTGAATGAATATTTTGACTGAAATTGAGCTTCAAGTGTATGGGAGATAAGTTTATGTAAACGAAACGTTAGAACCATTTTAATTTTACTCACTGAGATCATTTCAGATATATTTTTCCACATATAATACCTACCATATATTTTCTCAACAATATAGAATATAATGCCATCTAAAACTTCACAATACATTCATCATAGGTAGATGCCACCTCCTATCATTTTTTACTCAGATAAGTCAAATTTACTAATAATTTCCTTATATATACTTCGCGTCTTAATATACGACATACAGATTAAACGTTAAGTAGTTTTTATCACAGTAAGTATACGGTAAACGAATAACGAAACGTTTTCTCTATATATAAATATCTACTAATATGTGGATTTGAAGATTAGCGACTGTGATACATTGAAGTGTTGCCACCAGTAAATAGCTTTCATATCAATTTACTATGGTTACCACACAATATATGATTGTTCTGCAATGAGTCTTTTCGTAAAAGAAATTATTATTGAATGAATGTGAATCAAAGATTGACGTGACGTCATACAATCCGCTTTAATGAAGAATTTATAATCTAAAACCCGAAAAACTAACAAGCAGAGCTAAGTAATGATTCAAATGATATAGAAGGGTGTAGTAGTAGTAGTAGTAGTAGAAACCCTTTGAGAGACTTATATTCTAAATTTTATCCCTAGATGCTTTTTTAACTAACAAATCTCATAATTTTTTTTGAGGCACGTTACTGTTTAAATTTTATTAGTACATACAAATTTTTTGGAAAGATTAAAACTATCAGTTACATATAAAACGTTGTAACGCACAATTCGTTTATCTACGTACATGAATGGATTTTCTTGAGTAAGCAGTCTTATGTGTTGAATATGTAGTTTCTTGTTTAAAAATTTACATTTTCACCCTTCATTTAAATATCCTTTTTACAAGTTTCTCTGCGTATACGTTCAAATTTAAACTCACACTATAGCTAACGTATTCTCGTCCTACTAATACTTAATATGCAAAAAATGCTGTTTTGTATTATTAGCTTCAATTGTATTTCCCGATTCTTTTGATAAATTATCCGCTCCTGTTTGAACAAAATTAGAATGATAAATGTTAAGTTTATGCAAAATAGCATCTAATTATTCTGGTGCAACAATACATCTTTTACCATTGATTCTTAATTTCTAACACATAACATTTAAGATGTTATCATCAATCTGATGATATATATATATACATATATATTCGCTACTTCCTTTCACAACATTCATTGTATCTGACCAGGAAATTGTTGCAAATTTTATTTGAGTAAACAATTAAAAACTACACATGTAATGAGGATTTCAAAGCCACATATCAATGTTGAAGAAGAAAACAATAGGAAATTATGATAAATGAGTAGACTTATATTCAAATTCAGTGAAATTATTGATGGTTTGAATGTTCCTATAATTGTAATTTTCTTTGAACTATCAACCTTGTATTATTGATGAAATCTACAAAATAGAATATCTGATAAACTCAGAATAATAATTCATAATTAGTGTGGTGGCGTATCATAGTCCTAATTCATCGTTGAAATAAATCGTAAAATGGTTATGAAGAATAATTTAGAATCCGATTTTATCAGAAGTTGTTTGTGAATATTATAGTAATTTACTTATTGAGCTAATCAGTCCATTGAAGCTAGACCACCGCGGAAAACCAGGAAGCATTGGATGGCCGTTTCGTCCCATTATGGGACTCCTCAGCTGTGTGCATTTACGATCCCGTCTCTCAGGATTGGAACCCAGGACCTATCAATCTCGCGCAAGGGCACTTAACCCATAGATCACTGAGCCGGCCGTAATCGAACTGTGTTAATGGATAACTTCATTCAATCCACAGAATTGCGCCACCACTCACCATTGTCTTCAATGAATTACTATCTCGCTAATTACCCGGTTGCACTCCACTGGTCACGGCTTCTCACTAGAACTCCAGGAAATATTTTTTAAAGTCAATCACTAGTGAGCATATACTGATTGGTATCGGAGAGGGGTATTGTGGATATTATAGTAATTTAATGGTTGAGTTCATTATTCCATTTAAGCTAGACCTCCATGTAAAACCTGTAAGCACTATAAGACCAGTTCATCTTACTGTTGGACTCCTCAATAGTGAGCATCCATAATTCAATTTTAACAAATTAATTCTCTTAATGCCAATTGGTTAATATATTCTAAACCAATCAAATTCATACTATTTAAATTATTTAAAATTGTTTATTCTTTACAAATATTTCTTTATATTATGTTAGATTAGATAAACAAACACATTGAAAAATTCATTCTAATTTATAAATAATAAAATTAGTTAATAATTTTCATAATACAAACTTTAAAATATAAATAATTTCAATTATCTTTCATATTTTGATTATATTTAATCAAGTAGAATATACTACTAATCCTATTGTTGTTATTGTTGTTACTACTACTTATATTACGACTTTATTATCAATAATTATTGATTGAATATATACATATATACATACATGTAATTAAAATGTTTTTATTAACTGGATTATCCAATATGAATAAAACATCATTCACGGAACGATATGATAAACTTGGTTTATTATCTAATAGTTATTCATTTCAATGGGAAACTAATTCATTTCATACTATCAATATAAAATCTAATAATGATAATAAATATAAATCATTTCTATTATTTTTATATAATACAACAAAATGTAAAATTGAAAAAACATTTAATACATTACAATGTTATCATAAATTAATAATACAAAAATCCAATTATTCATTGGATAAAGAAATAAACGATAAATCAATACTTATTCAATTGAAAAAAATCGATAATAATAATAATAATAATAAACAATGTAATACTTACTCAAAAGAGAATATAATTGAATCAAATTCTGATTATATATCTAACGATAATAGTTTAAAATCAATCGATTCATTATATAATTCAGGACGTATTATACATCGAAAACATATAAAATATCGTCAATGGAAAAATAAAATCAATATCAAACATAAAAAAGCATGTATAAATATAAAAATCAATGAAAAATCAATAAATGTTAATAATAATAATATATTGATTTTTAATAATGATTCACAATCAATTGATCCTAGATATTCATTAAAAAATGTAGTAAATTATAATAAAATATCAAATATACATAAACAATATTTATTTGGTCAATTAATGAATGATAATCAATGGGATTTATTTTTATGTTTATTAAATACTGATATAAATATTAATTCAATACAAAAAAAGATTAAATTATCAAATAATAATTATGAGTTGAATAAACATGAAACAATAATGATTGAAATATATCCATCAGTTATTGATCTTTTTCTAAGAAATATTCCATCGAATCTATCTTCTTCTTCTTCTTCTTCTACAAATGGAATTTATTCCATAATACTTTCATGTCTTCTTGATCATGGAGCTAATATTCATAATATAAATCATTTTTATCAATATACCTATAATGGTGGTATTCAATTAAATACTTTATCTTATATATTTGAACTAATTGCAATACAATTAAATCATAGTTTACAAATAATAAATATTATAAACAATTCTCAATTTATTGATAATGCTGGTCTATTAAGACAATTATTAAATTCTGGTATGATTCCTACCAAATTATTTTTTCTTATTTATACTAATAAATTATTCATATTTAATATAAAAGAATCAATCATTCTTAATCATAATAATCATAATAATAATAATACAACTCAAATATATAAAAATCATTTTTATCCACTACTTATATATGAATTAGTAAAATGGAATATTTCTAATCAAAATACAACACAATATCTTCCAATCATATTACAATCATTTATTGTATTATTTTTTAATTTTATATATTCTGGATTATGTAAATTACCTGAAAATCTATATGATATAATCGATAATAATTTAATAAATCAATATAATGATTATCATACTAATAATAAACATAATAATCAATATAATGATAAAGATTACAATATTAATAATCAATATTATTTATCATATTTTAATTATTATCATAATAAATTTTTACAACTTATTAATAAACAACCATTTAGTTTATTTGTACAATGTAGATATAAAATAAGAAATCAAATAGATAAAAAATATTTTAATAAATTAATTATGAATTCAAATATATTTAATAATGATAATAATAATCATTTTATGATAAATAATGAATTTTATAAAAAATTAATTCAATTACCTGATCCATTAAAACATGCTATTGGTTATATGGAAGGGATACATTTAAAAAATGAATTATATACTTTAACACAACCAATGTAGTATCATTTTATGTATATATGGATATATATATCGATATGAATGGATGATGAAATAGAAGCAAGTTTTTCTTTTATTGTATAGTTTAGTTTTTATTATGTACAAACATAAAAATCTTGATGTATATTTGAATAATGAATTTTCACTTATTTAATAAACAATCATACAGATCTAAAATTGTTGAAATTTATAAAATTGTACATATGTATATTATCAACATCAAATTTATCAGAATAGTAATTAATATTCCGACTCTCAATAAAGAACTAGAAACATTTTTCATAATTACTTACTTACGCCTATTACTCCTCATGGAGCATAGGCCGCCGACCAGCATTCTTCAATCCACTCTGTCCTGGGCCTTCTTTTCTAGTTCCATACAATTCTTGTTCATTTGTCTCATGTCTATCTCCATTTACCGGCGTAATGTGTTCTTTGGTCTTACTCTTTTCCTTTGACCTTGAGGATTCCATGTGAGGGCTTGTCTTGTGACGCAGTTGGGTGCCTTCCTCAGTGTGTGTCCTATCCACTTCCAGCGCTTCTTCCTAATTTCTTCCTCCACTGGGATCTGATTTGTTATGTCCCACAGTTGGTTGTTGCTAATAGTGTCCGACTAACGGATCCGAAGTATTTTGCGTAGACAACTGTTAATAAACACCTGTATCTTCTGGATGAAGAAATTAGCATGGCCATCAGACAGATCAAGAGTGGCAAAGTAGCAGGACCAGACAACAATCCAGCAGAGGCAAAGGTTGCTTACTTTCACCCTTTCTCTTTCTTCTGGTGATTGACTGGATCATGAAGACGTCAACATCTGAAGAGGAACATGGGATACAGTGGACCTCTAGGATGCAGTTGAACGATCTAGACTTCGCAGATGATCTGGTCCTCCTATCGCAAACGCAACAACAAATGCAGGAGAAAAAGATTAGCGTGGCAGCAACCTCAGCAGCAGTGGGTCTCAATATACACAAAGGGAAAAGCAATATTCTCCGATACAACACAGCATGCACCAATCTAATCACATTTGACGCCCCATACAGTAGAACTGTCTTGACATTTGTATTGAAAATCTTGACCTTGGTGTTGGTTGACAGTTGTTTTGAGTTCCAGATGTTCTTCAGCTGTAAATATGCTGCTCTTGCTTTACCGATCCGCGCCTTTACGTCTGCATCAGATCCACCCTGTTTATCAATGATGCTGCCCAGATATGTAAAGATTTTTACATCTTTCAAATGTTCTCCGTCAAATGTGATTAGATTGGTGCATGATGTGTTTTATCGAATAATCTTGCTTTTCCCTTTTTTGTTTTGATTCTTCATAATAAATAAATAAACATATTTGTGATATGAGTAGAAAAACTAGATTTTCTGAAATTTCGTGACTTAGTGCAAGCCATTTCTTCATCATTTATTCTCTGAAGAAGTAGCTTACATCAAAGTACGAAACGTAAGAAAAGCTATTATTTTACAGATTGGGATATTACAAACATATCATTTATTTATAACAATCTACCTAATGCTCAATTTATTCGAAATCATCAAGTCAAATCTTCGTTATTATACTTATAAATTCTTCATAATGATATTCAATATCAGGTTTGTTTCCATCAGTTTAAGTGATATTGACATGATTTATGTATTTCCACCTTGTTTTCCTAATCATGAACGAGTAACTTCTTGATTATTCATTTACTAACTGAATGAATAATAATTTATTATTATAAATGCATAGAAATATACTAAGAGAATACCTACTCGATAAACTGAACGATTTAGGCGTTGAATCAGTCAAAAACTCCATTGTCATTAAACTTTGACTACGTAGATACAAAAGTAGTCAAAGTGATTTCGTATTATATGTACAGCATCTGATAATTCATTATGTTGGAACTAACTATTATGGATTCGATGACTGTTATTTTACTAGCATATTTCCTTTCCAACCATAAGTACATTTATATACATAAATTAATTTCAATGAAAAGTCACTAGTTTTTCTGTCAATGGTTTGGGGTGTGCTACTGATAAATATAAGTAGTATGTATGATTAACCGCGAGTTGAATGTCTGGCGACAGAAGGTTGAGAAAATAGAAAAGAACGAGTACAGAGAGTGATTAGCATAGAAACGAAAGAACAACAAAGTCTGGAACAATTGATGGATAATTTGAAAACAAAGTATTCATTGTATGGTTCTCAGATTTTATCAAGTTACTCTATAATGTTATATTAAAATACATTTGGTTGTCCCCGTATCTGTCCTCGTTCACTATAGTTTCAGTTATGCTAATGATTTATTGTCTATTGAAAATTCGTTTGTGAAATATCACGAATTCGACAGCGTTTAATGATAACTTGAATCACAAACTGACATCAGTTAAACGATTCTCTTATTGAGCTCAAAATAGTTATTGGAATCTGGTAAGCTTTGTGAATAAATTCATTCTAATATTAATAAATTGTGGTTGTCGCCTAACACCTCTGGTGAGTTATTGTTTCATGATTGATTTGACTAAACCTATATGCTTTGAATTACCGTTACGACATTTTCAAATCATTTCTAAACCTGATCGCTGGTTATTTTTAGACACTAAAATTGGTTTAGTTTCCCTCAAGAATGGGTCGTGTTTGCTTCATGAGTAAGCGTATGTCGTGGTGAACGAGAACACAAGTAGGCATAAATGAATGCATTAGAACACAAAATTACAAAACATCTTAGTAATATCTGAAAACCATACTGTAAATGTTTAATTTGCAAAATGTCAATCAGTTGTCTCAAACTTGGCTTTCCCTATCACAAATGCCACTCAATCGCCTCAAACTTCACTATTCCTTCATTTCCACAGCAATCATTCTGTGTTCTCGTTTTATTTTCTTCGATCTTATTAACCTTCTTCTGCCACGTATTTCACTCTCGATCGATGACGAATACTACTTATATCTGTCGACATCAGTAGCACACAACACGGGTGCACCACATTCTCAACCTCAGTTAATTCGCAGTTATTACGCGGTGATGACATAAATCCTATGATCTTTTAAATTGGTTTTATGTATAATTTGAAGTCAAGTCCAGTGACGGTGAAAGACTCACATCTAATTCAGCAAAATCATTTCAGTCAGTGTTAATGTATAGCAATCCAAACAGTCTCCTTCTACTATCTAAATGCGTTTGTCTAGTCTAGACAGTAAACGATTTACTGACTGAATTTTACATATGTATAAATGTATAAGATTATTATTACTTAATGTGTTAAGTTGTAGTATCCTTCTACTCTGTACATGTATACATGTATCGCATATTTCAGTCCAGTAAGATCCCACTTCCATTTTGAATTTTCAACGAGATTATGATCTGTCAACATCTGTAGCACACTCCACAATATTACATTATGTGTTCTTACAAGTCAAAAATTATCCTAGTTCTGATGTATAACTGTGTATCCACTTTACTTCATAGAACATTGTTTTTTATGAAAATTTAACACAACTCCATAAATACTGTAATGATTAGTTGATTAGTTTACATATTATGCAAATAGGGATAGAAATTTTCCCTAGAGTTAATGTAAACGTTTTATGGATTTTATAGTACTGAAATCCATATTTATTAAAATTTTGATTAACAACCCATTCAGTTCCATTAATTCTACATTTTAATTCTTTTAAAAGGTACATCTCTTCAGCATAATATTTATCAAATGAAAGGTATAAACATTTTAAATGTGAAAAACATTACCAACAAACGATAAAACTATTACTGTTAAATGGAAACGTTTAAAAACGTTACTTGTATACAAACCTTTTAAAAATAAGGAAAATATTATTATGAAAGTGCTCAATTGTCATAAAATTATTTAAAAAAAAACAAGACAAATGCTTAACTCTCAAACAGTTTAAGATTTTGATTGAGATCATGAACTGATTGATGTTAGACCAACATTGAAAACCTGGAAGCACTGGATGGCCATTTCTTTCTGTTCTAGGACTCCTCAGAATTGCGTATCCACCATCCCGCCTGCTGGATTCGAACCCAGAGCCTTCGGTCTAGCTCACGAACGCCTAAACTTTTAAATAAGTTTATGTTCATTATGTTTTCCATTGGAAAAATTTATAATTTATTGTTATGTGAACATTTGATATTTCATTCAAAATATATCTTCAACTTTCCATTTTCAGTCTTCTTCACGGTAAAAAATGAGTTTCCAGTCAGAACAACTGAAACTTCCTATGAAGCTGTAAAAATTATTTTACGTTTTACACTACGTATTTATAACATCCAGACAACCATTAAAAACCGGGAAGTACTGAATAACTGTTTCGTCTCATCTTGGGACTCTTTGGGATTATGTATCCACGATATTACTGTTGCTGAGAGGTCTCATGCTACAATGTTACACCTATTTAGTGTTTTTTAGTTCTCATTAGTTGTTAATATACAGCCAGCTATCACATTGGAAAACACAGAACATCACGATTTACTAAATGTTAGTTTTGACATAGATTTGGAATTTTCATCGATACTCACAACCATTCGCAGGATAGAATATTCGTCAATTAGACCATATTTTATTCTTTTGTTTATTGGAAGGTGGTTCATACCATTTCACTTTAACTGACTTCAAATAGGTTATTATTTTTAACTCAGGTTATTTAAAATGTTTGATGTTTAAGCTATGAAAACTTTGTTAACTTACTAAATCTGTTGAGAAGTTTTCCAAGTTGACCACACTGAATTTAACACCTAAAAGAAGTATAAATCTCTTTAAATACTATGGATAAAACTATTTATTGAGTGAACTGCCATTGTTTGATTAAACATCCTTTAATTGTTAACTAATAATTATTCAACTCTCACCAAAAACGAATAGCAAAGAACCTACATACTTGAACAAATATTTCATGAATTAATAATACAGACTACAAATCAAAATAGCGACATTACAAATCTGTAATGACAAACGTCGCATAGTATCGTAGATCGATTAAAGTTAATCATTAACACCGTTGGATAGTGACTCAATGATGCAGAAGTTAGGTGTTCGCACGCTAGATCAATTGTCCTGGATTCGACTCCTGCATATAGGTTTGTCTGTGCACACCGATAAGGAACTCCATGCTAAAACAAAAACAGCTACTCAGTGCTTTTAGATTTTAAATAATTGTTTAAATTAGATTGGTTCATGATGTCATCGATATTTTTACATTATTCAACAATTTAATAACCAAGTTATAGGTAGACAAAATTGATAATAAACGAATTTGATATTACAAGTCACTAGTTTAAACAGTAAAACTATAATCCAGGTAAAATACAGTTTATTTTGAAGAAATTATGTTTTATTTAAGGTTAACAATTTATGGTAGAAGTGTCAACATATGAATGGATGACTGAATTGGAAGTTCTGTAAAACGTCAGTTTCTTATATCGAAAATAAGAATAAAAGAAGAATAAACGAATAATAATACCATAGATCCAGGAGAATGGTGAATTGTATTTTCATATTTACTTCTCTGTATGAATATGAGAATAAATATATAATCTAGAGTAGTTTGGATATCTCCGACAAAATTAACGGGGAATTAATTGGTTGGACAAAACAAGAAAAAAAGACTGTATTACATTTGTTATAATAAAATTTATTAAACCAAATTTTAGAATTCAGTCGACCACACTCTCTAATTGCAAAGTTGACTACTTCTCTATGACAATATCCCTTGATTCTTTTTATTAATTATGAAAAGTTAGTTCACATTTACTGAAAGGTTGAAGATAATGAATAAAATATTCAAATTTAAGGAAACGATAAGTCCCTACCTTATCAATTAGACAGTTTTCTCTTCGTATTATTCAGAGAGAAGAAATAGGATTAGTAACAAATTATTATTCTACTGAAAATATTTAAAAAGTTGACGTATAATCGATTATAGATTTAATTTAATAAAAGTCAGATTGATAAAATGATTTTTTGAAACTTACGTCACATCACTTCCAGAGTAAATCTATTTATTTCTAGAATATAATGTATATTACATAAACTACAAATGACTTTTTTCAAGAAAGGTGATATGATGGAAAGAAAAGTCAATTTTCGATTGATCTACTCATTATAAGCTTCGTTCAAGATTACTTCCGTTTCGACTCTATGTAATGATTACTCAATGTAGTATTTGTTTTATTTTATGATATACGATATTCTTGTATTCCATTGACATGCACTATGCACAGTCTGTGATTTGTTATAACTCTAAGTACTTTTCATATATATGATTCCAACCTAATTATTAATCAAAATAGGTGTACAGTCAGTATATAAATAAGTGTATTTTCTACTAGAATTGTCAACGTCGTCGTGTTTTGGGTTTAACAAATCATCACTTATACCAGTCTTTGTGTTCTAACTTTCGCGTCGTGGGAATTGCAGAGGTCCCTCGTTCCAAGTATAAGTGATAAGCGTTTCCGACATAACAATCAGCAACGACCAGATATGAGAAGTAGCATTAAAAGAACCAAGACAATAAGCATTCAAACGACGAGTTATAACAAAAGGAGTCTTATGTCTTATCTTTTCTAGGGTATTTAATTACAATCGCATAGTTAAATAAATTGGTACACAGTAGTTTGTTTTTTGTTTGAAATAACCTGTAACCTGCAAACTTCTGTTTTAACTTTTGACTGTTTCGTTTTCTATTGAAGAAATTAACGAAACATAGCGGAATGCTTTGGATATCAATACTCTGTTTTAACGTTGATTACAAATGTGTTGAGTTGTGTAATTTCATAAATATAGATTATAATGTATTTAGGATATCTATACCGTTATTCAGTAAAAACTTTAGAAGCCATGTTTTACCGTGATTACTACCAACACATCAGTTTAAAAACATCTCGGAAGTAGTGTTCTGAACGAACATATGTTATTATTTTCAGCCCTGTTTCAATCAGCATATTGTCAGATTGCTGTGCTTAATACTATTTGAAAAGCAGTATTTGTATGGGTGTGATTTATCGAAACCATTACTGAATAAGTCATGTAATGCGATTATTCTGGAAATCTTGTTTATAATCATCATTATCAATATAAATATATAGAGATTACCTACGGATAGGTAGATCACTAACGTAGGTGCTTTATGTAGAATGACTGGGGGTTTATGTGAGTTATATAGGAATGCTGTGACCGTCAGCTAACTTCGAAGTCATATCTCGCGGTCAGCACCTAACGTGGATTTCTCCTTCGACGTATTCAGATACTGTGGCTGCTTTAAAAACGTATAATACAAACGACGTTATTACGGAAATATATTAGCAAGAATGAGTACAGAGATGATAGTGAGACCACCAGCGTATGGGCCAATCCATGGAATACGATTCATAAGCAATGTAAGACGTAGGTACGTCCGGCTAACGAGTCCCAAACAGGACGAAACGCGCGTCCTGAATTACACTGCTAGCCACTATCTATCATTTCTTATAATGCTTGTGAATTAAGGCAATATCAAGGCAATCCCCATAGTGTTCACATATAACAATAAGAGACTGGTCAACTACAGTCCTAAACATCAATAGGAAGATTCAAGTAAACAATAACAAGTGAATTTAAAATTCACCCGATTGTACAAGCAAGTGGCTATCCAGACTCAGTAGCTAAGTAGATAACGCGATGGCATTTGAAGTGAACAGTATTGGGTTCGAGTCACAGAATGGACATCAACTCTGAGGTGCAGGCACATCCAGCTGATGAGCCCCACATAGGGCGAAACGCGCCTCCTGGATTCCACTGCTAGCCATTATCCATCTTTGTATTGAAACTACCATTGTGTTTATGAAAAAACATCCTTTACATATTCTTTTTTGTATTATATTAATATGAATATCAAATTAACGTAAAACTAATTTTTTAATGGTATTTAATAGCTGTGGAATTGAGGAGATACAACTTGACGGTGCTCGTAATAAGTGATAGACATTGGACGATAGCTGGACAAAAGAGATTGACTTCCATGATCATGGAGAATAAAGTGCTTCGCACACTCAAGGAGTTTCACCGACACTGTCCAAAGAATCACGAAACGCACTTATACGACGGGAATCTCACGGACCCAAAATCACCAAAGCACCTTTCAAAACAAAGAAGTATGGAATCACAGTGAATGTTATTCAATGCTATGCACCAAACAATGTTATCATTGAAGACGATGAGGATCAGTTCTACGTGAGGCTGCAATAGATCATGGCGAAGTGCTTAGAAAAGGACCTGACCATTCTGGTGGGAGGCCTAAACGCTCAAGTCGCAATGAACAAATCCTGGGCATAAATATTATCATAGGACGACATGGACTGACCGGCAGACAGGTACGAAGATAGTGAAAGGACGCTCTATTAAAAAACCAAAAAAAGGAGATTTGAGTGAATGTGAGAATTACAGAGGCATCACACTACTGTCAGTACCAGGGCAAGTTTTCAACAGAGTGTTGCTCAAACGGATATAAGATTCAGTAGACGCACAGGTTCGACATCATCAAACCAAGTTCCACAAAGATCGGTCAAGCACAGACCAAATCGCGACACTACGGATCATCGATTGACAATCAATTGAACGTAATTATTCATCAACTTTCTTGACTATGAGGAAATGTTTGACGGCTTGGATGGAAGAGACTTATGGAACCCTCTTCGACACCATAGTATAGCTGAGAATATAGCCAATATCATACGGAATTAATACGACGCAGTACACTACAATGTGGTGCATGAACAAGAGTTGACCGACACATTTCAAATAAGAACTGGAGTCAGAAAAGGCTGTTTGCTATCTCCTCTCTTTTTCCTCCAGTGGTTGACTGGATCATGAAAACCTCCATATCTGAGTGGAGTCACGGAATACAATGGAGAGCTTGGATGCAACTAGTTGGTTTGAACTTCGCAGATAACCTAGTCCTTCTATCCTATACACATGAACA